ACAGCGCCATTCACCAGAGTTAAATACGTTTAAAAATGAGGCAGATTTTCAAAAGAGGTCAGCACCCCATGGCTCTGATTTAGGGACCTAAGTGCGTGGCTAGAGTTTCAAAAGCATTCCGTTCCCATTTAGTATCATTCACTTGCTTGTTCTGTGGTAGTGTCTCATGGCCAGGACTTCACTGTATAAACATACAATAGAGACAGTCCCTGCCCAGAAAGGTGCCTAACTGAAGTGGTCAGATTGATTTTCAAAAGGGATCTGCTTCCAGCAGTGCCCTGGGATCTAGTTGTGGATGCTGAACCCTTGAAAACCTGGCCCTCAGTCGATGGATCCTTTCCTAATGTCAACCTATTGCAACCTTAAAACGCCTCATTCTCCCGCATGTAAGCATCTACTGTTGCTACTATCCTTGGTTTCTTTTTTACAACTGCAAATAAAATGCATAGTGCCACATATTAACCCAGTTTCAGTAAAGACCAATTGTTTGGGCTCATTGAGGGCTCTGCCTGCTGCTGAGTTTTTTAATACAAGAATTTCAGTTGGATGTGCCGCGTTCGCTCCCTTACAGCAGTGTAAATCAGGAGTAACTCCATTGACTTCAGTGCAGTTACAGCAGTAAAGCTGATGCGAGACTAGAATCATGGGCCCCGGGTATTATTATTTGTTAGGGGATAGGGTCTCATAAGAACAGCCACCTCAGTTTGCAATCTTGTTAATAGTCTCAGCACGTCTGAAGAAGCACAATAGAATTAATCTCTTAAAAATATTCAAGAGAGTCCTCTGAATGCCAGCACTCATTTTCTACCCCTGGCAAGCAAGAGGAAAATTAGGCACTTTCTTATAAATTTTGTGGGCGGCATCGGCAGCAAGAACTGGCTCGTTGCTATTAATGGAAAGTATGTCCCTTCAGGCTCATAAAAGTTTTAAGACATGCTGTTTGGAAGGTCTACGTTAAATCAGATAATGGTATGTTATTAATTTTTTCATCTCATCCTTCTTAATGGCATCAGTCAATTCAGTCATCAGCCTTTTACTGTTTCATGAGTATCAGCCGATGGTAAAATGTATTCCGTTACTGTCTTTGGAATCTGTCACTGGAATCTGTATCATCTCACTGGGAAATTCAGAGAGTAATGCCTGTGAAACTATATTAGGGGATTTGAGATTGAAATGGCTGCATTCTGTAGGAGATGGACCACTGAGGATACAAAGACTCTTTAATGATGACTAATAACCATCTTTCAAATGCTTAACTACCTAGCACAGAGAGTGGATTTCATAGATCAGGTTTACTGGGCATACCTAGTTTTTTAGACAGGCATCTTGTTAAATACCTCCAACCGATATTTTCTTTTGCCAAGGAATATGAACAGGGGCAGGTGGGAGACGGATGGACGGAACATTCCCATGCCCTTGGTCACAGGACCTGGGCAGCCTACAAACATGTTTCTTCTTAATATGCTTCTGCAGCATATAGTGACATTTTTGAGATGTGTATCTGTCAGTATATGGTGGAAATCTCCAAGTCACCTGGACTAGGACCTCTAGGTATAGAGAAGTAGCTATCACTGTGATTGTTATTGAGCCAGATTCTAATCTTGTTTCCCCCTCCTCTGTGGTGTAAAAGCTGGTTTTATATATAGAGTAGTGATGGCAGAATTGTCATCAAAAGGTTCCAGACATGATGGACGTGGGGTCTGATTCTGGTTCTAAAGGGCAATATATCTGTAAGCAGCCCGAGAACACTTGAAGAAGCTTTATGATTAGGGCTCTACCAAATTCATGGCCATGAAAAACGCATCACGGACCGTGAAATCTGGTCCTCCCCTCCCTCCCCCCGTGAAATCTGGTCTTTTGTTTGCTTTTACCTTATACTATATAGATTTCCTGGGGAGACCAGAGTTTCTCAAATTGGGGGTCCTGACCCAAAAGGCAGTTGCGGGGGGGGTGGGGGGGTCAAATGGTTATTTTAGGGGGATTACCACCCTTACTTCTGTGCTGCCTTTAGAGCTGGGTGGCCGGAGAGTAGCGGCTGTTGGCTGGCACCCAGCTCTGAAGGCAGCACCTGCCAGCAGCAGCGCAGAAATAAGGGTGGCAATGCCATACCAGGCCACCCTTCTGTGCTGCTGCCTTCAGAGCTGGGCGGCTGGAGAGTGGCAGCTGCTGACTGAGGGCCCAGCTCTAAAGGCAGCAGCACAGAAGTAAGGGTGGCAGTACCATACATTGCCATTCTTACTTCTCCGCCTCTGCTGGCAGTGGCTCTGCCTTCAGAGGTGGGCTCCTGGCCAGCTGCCCCCGCTCTCCAGCTGCTCAGCTCTGAAGGCAGTGCTGCCGCTGGCAGCAGTGCAGAAGTATAGGTAGCAGTACCGCAACCCCCCCCCTATAATAACCTTGCGACCCTCCCCCCCAACTCCTTTTCGGGTCGGGACCCCACAATTACAACACCGTGAAATTTCAGATTTAAATAGCTGAAATCATGACATTTACAATTTTTAAAACCCTATGACTGTGAAATTGACCAAAATGGACTGTGAATTTGATAGGGCCCTATTTATGATGGAATTAAGCTCTCTTATACCAGTTCTCTTATACTCTTGCTTATACCAGACTTCTAAGAAAGTTTATTTGTGTATCCTTTTAATTTCATCCACCCATTATTGCACTATGCTTAGAAATG